TGCAATTTGGTTTTAGACAAGAAAAATCTACAGAAGACGCTATAACAGCTCTTACTTCCCTAATCGTTGACCTACTAGATCAAGGAAAGAAAACTCTAGCCGTTTTTCTAGACCTTAAAAAGGCCTTTGACACTGTCTCTATTCCTATCTTAATTCAAAAACTAGAAACAATTGGCATCGTAGGTACACCACTCAACTTACTCAAGGAATACTTGTCTGAAAGAAAACAAAAAAGTCAAAATTGGACAGTGTGTTAGTGATGACTCCTTTGTTACCTATGGTGTCCCACAAGGCAGTGTACTAGGCCCTACCTTGTTTCTTGTTTATATTAACAATTTATGCAACCTAAAAATAGATGGAGCTCACATATTTTTCATACGCGGATGATACGGTTGTGGTATTTCAAGATACAACTTGGGAAGCAGTTCGCAAACGCACTGAACTGGGACTGGCTGAAATAGCCTCCTGGCTTAGGACTAATTTGCTTACTCTTAATGACCAAAAAACTAACTACGTATGCTTTACCATCAATAACCGGACTCAGCCACAAAATGATTTTAATATAAAAATTCATAAATGTAAAAACGTTATTGATACTGATTGCACTTGTCCAACCATAAGCAAAGTATCGGCTATTAAGTATTTAGGTATAATTATAGACCAACGTTTGACGTGGCACAACCAAATAGAGCATCTTATGGGTAGGGTCAGAAAGCTAATTTGGATTTTTAAGCAACTTAGACATATAGCATCAAAAAATATACTAACTAAAGTATACACTGCATTGGTACAATCTTTACTGGCATATTGCATTCCTATATGGGGTGGCACGTCTAAAACCAAATTCATGGAAGTAGAAAGGGCTCAAAGAGCATTACTCAAAGTAATGTTTTTCAAACCGTACAGATTTTGTACAGAAAAATTATATAATATATGTGACCTACTTACAGTAAGAAAATTATATATTTTACAAACCGTTTTAAAAACACATAGTAGTGTGTCTTATGATTCGAACATTTTGCAAAGAAGAAGAGGTACTGTAATAGTAACACAGAAAGTAAACACAAAATTTGCTTCTCATCAACATAAAAAGCAATCAGTTTTTATATACAATAAAATAAACAAAATTCTCAATATATATAAATTGAATAGATATAATTGTAAACAGTTGTTGACAAAATGGTTAAAACAATTAGACTATGATAAAACAGAGTTTTTACAATGCATTATTTAGACACTACAATATTAGTAATAAGCAAATACACATAAACACATACATGAAAAAACACACACACCCACACACACACACACACACACACACACACACACACACACACACACACACACACACACACACACACACACACACTGCATACACACACACACACACATGCATACACACACACACACACACACAAGTTTCTTTAATAGTTTATATCCTACGGATTAAGTTGATCACTATTTGTATTATGGCTATGGAAGAGCGGGATCTTCTGGCACAGGTGTTTTTACACTTAAAAGAAGATTTCCACAATCTCAAGATCATTGTAAAAATTTTTAGTTGATCAATAAAGATTTATTATTATTATTATTAATTTTTCCATGTATTTGGTTATAAACATACCTATTTTAATTATTTTATCAAAATACATGTAATGTTAAATATCCAAAAAATTTAGCTCGTTTTTTTGTCATATTTTATATTATTATTTTAAAAATACTATAATTAGAGCGTTCGATTCAGTATGCTCCGGGTAATCCCAACTGCAGGACGTATTACTTTTTCTCACCGACACCGCGCGATCGCTTTGCTACACCGATAGGGCTATACTGCACTATACTACAACTAGATACCTATAGCACCATCGAGCATTTTAAACGATTGACACTTTTATAAGCGATATTTTTGGTAGTAAGTAATTTTGAAATATGTTCATGATTGTAATATTTAATTATTAAATGAAGTAATGGTGGCAAATTTTCATTTCATACATATTTTTTTAGAAATGAGTAATGAACGTAAGCAATTCGGATCAAGTAAAAATACAAACTCGTTGGCTTTCACCTTTGGCTCTGTGGCGGAGTGACTTGGTAATGAGTTGTAGCGCTGAGCGCCGCGGGTTCGAATCCCACATGGAATAAAAATTTGTATTACCTACAAATAATTGTTCCAGGTCTGGATGTTTGTCCTTGTGAAATTAATGTATTTAAACAGCCCCCACGATGTACTTAGGAAAAATTCCTAGTGTGGAGATAACGTTATGATTAAACAAAGACATGCCATCAAAACATAACTTGTAAAATAACCAAGTCTCGCAATGATGATACGGCCGTGCCGCTGTTTTGCTCGACTTGGCGGGGGGCACTACCGTGCCCCCAGATATAAAACATATGAGCCGTGCTTGAGTTGAGTAGCTCAAGGGCGTAGTGCTCGCCGTAAACGCGAACAATCCGGGCTCGATCCCCGCTAGTGTTGCCAGGTGTCCCGATCCCCGTCCCGATTTTCAAGGGTCTACTAACACGTCCCGATTCACCCTTGATCGGGACGCCAAATGTCCCGATTTTCACTAACCTTCTTATTTTGTACTTTAATCCATAATTTTGACAGCAAAAATGATTATATCTGTTAGCTACTACCACATTAAAATATTTTTACTATGACATTGTCTCACCAGTCGAAAAAAAAACCACAAAAGTTTTAAACAGAATTATATTAAAATGAGTGATTTGAAAAATTCAGGGACTACAAAAAAAAAAAACAAATAGTTCAGAAACGTTTTAATTTGCCTAAAATGAAAAAAATTCAGTTTTTACGATGTTTGGATGAAAAGTTATTCGTTTATGAGATCAGACCTGAATAGTAATTATAAAGCACAAAAGTAAACTAAAGTTACAGTCACAATTTCTCGCATTACTCGCATACTGTGATATTTACAGTGAGCGTTGACCATCTGAGCTACCACGGCTCTCAATAAAGCACAAAAAGGCTACAAAGAAACCTATATTTTGTAGTCATTGTAGTTGTCCGGATATGAAAACCAAATCCCCGATTATTTTTACCTTCCGTCCCGAAATTTTACTTGCTAGACCTTGCAACATTAATCCCAGCCGACACTAATGAAATTGTTAGTTTGATGAATTATGTTTACATTATGAAACAGGATAAAGGTTTATCAAATGATATATATTTTATACAATACATATTTTTCAATTAGAACATATACATATTATAATATACCTGCTCAATAGGCTGAAAATGTAAAGCCGACTTCAATTTACTAAAAGAATAAAACAATTTCCACATATTAGCCTCCGATTTCTATACACTATATAAGCCATTATATGGAAATTATTTTTTTTATTATTTTAGTTCCAATAGTATCAAAGACAGGTATATAATCAAAGATCAAAGTGATTCGTGCAACTAAAGGCAACTATTATAGCCTCACGCTCGCCCTGACACGCACACAGAGATAACATTGTAGTGTGCGTCAATATTACGCCGTTCCAAAGCGATCGCGTAGATTTCGACTTGGACATATTTGAATATGCGCTCTTAACTTTTTGAACTGTTTCTTCTATATGCATTCAGAATTTTTTTGCAGAAGAGGGCCATTAGAGCTATTTACAATCTTAAACCGAGAGAGTCTCTTAAAGAAAAATTTAAAGATATAAATATATTAACTTTGGCCTCTCAGTATATCTGTGAAAATACGATGTATGTTCACAAAAATAAAGGTAGTTTTAGTAAAAAAAGTGACATACACTCTGTTAACACTAGGAACTAACACAAGCTGGTGCTACCAGTTTCTCGACTCCACAGAGTTAGTAATTCATTCTTGGGGCAATGTATACGCTATTACAACAAAGTCCCAGAAAATAGACAAGGTCTCTCTATTACCAAGTTTAAATATTCAATTAAACAAAAACTGTATAAAAAGGGTTATTATTTAATGATGGTTTATGGTCCGATCTATGCAAAATGAACTCCAAGGGTCCCAAGCAGGTGGTAGTACCTAGCCTCCTTCTCTATTGAAATTAGGATGTTTTTTTTAATTTTAGTAGCATCACGTATCATCCTTGGTAGGTTCGCGTAAATATAAGAAATCATTAAGAGACATTAATTTTGACTGCATTATTGAAAATCAAATAATAATTAATCTAAACAACGACAGCTCAACTAGTTGTATGAAAGTGATTGAATAAATTTATTTTTAATCTAGTTTCAATCTAAAATTTTTATAACTGTGCCTTTGGAAATAAGCAGTAACAACAAATACGTAGAAACTGATAAATCTTCGGTTTTAAATTACCTGTTTTAAATTTGTTTTGGTATTATTCAAACCAAACTGTAAATGATTACCAACTCTAAATAATCGATACCGATTTTTTTAAAAGTCGAATATTGTACGTTCCCATTTTTTGGTTGGCATGCCTGGTGCAATAAGTCTGACAGCTGTCAAAATGTATTTCTTAGATTTGGTTGACTATAAAAGTATAAAATAATTTATACATATTAGCTTCCGATGTCGGAGCTAGATCGGGAAATTAATTCTTACATACACTATGTCTGAGCACCGACCTCATAAGCTATTATATAAAAATTATTTTATTCTTTTAGTTACAATAGTATCAAGATGATTCATGCTAGATACCACCAGTTACCTTGCGCTCGCCCACCTCGCGCAGTCACGCACACAGATAGAACATTGTAGTGTGCGTCAATATTACGCCTTTCCAGAGCGATTTTGACTTGCGCATATTTGAATATACGTTCTTAAAAGTCCTTCTGTCAATCTTTGAAGGCTTCCGTTATGTGCTCCCATCGTGCCTTTTACCATTGCTCATATCTTTGTGGATCTGCGAATTGATGACGCGTTCGAGGAGCTTAATGATGTGAGACAACTAAATGACTACCACAATATCGTGTTTTGCTTCTATAACAACTCAAAAAGAAATAAAAATGAAAAAATATTATCACATTTTTCCAATCATTTTAGGAGCTCCTGAGTGTGATTCGGGAAGAATTATTTTGGGCAAAGCGTGTACCATGCGAACGTTTGGAAGCACCTTACGAAGCCTACAGACTCGATTACATACAGTTCAAGAACCTGTTTACTGCACTGTCACCCTGGGCAAAAGGCGAAAATGCTGAAGCCATCACAGCTATGATGTTCAAGGTAAATATTTCTTAAAGGACATGTAGTCACAGAAATTAAAACATTCACCTCCGATTCTATTCTTTATGGCAAGTGGTTAAATGCTAACGGAATAATCCGGTAATAAGAGTCCGTTTCTCCCTAGCAGTATGTCTGAGTGGATACAAAACTATTACCTGTTTCTGCTATTTTACGTTTATGCCAAATTTTAATTTTGCTTAAAATATCTTTATTTTTAATTTTCAGATTTTTTTTTAAATATTTTTATCTGAATATTTTTGTTTTTACATAGATAAAAGGAAACGAGCATCAATCAATATTTACATCACTTTATTGCAATTTCACATTAAAACGAAAACAAAATTTAATAAATTTATAGAAGGTACAATAGGCAGTTTTATCACTCTGGAAGCGATTTCTCCCAGACAACCTTTTTGCGCAAACAACTGTTGTTTATGCCAGTTGAGGATAAATTTGAATCATATCTGTAATCTATCATCATAGGGTTGCCAGATCTTGAAACCGAAAAACCGGACATTTTGGTAAAAAGGCCCGGCATCTTTTATTTTAGTCTTAGTATAACATGACAATTTTTATCATAAAATCTTCTTAAATTTCAATAATCTTTGGCCACTCAGAAAAAATTGAGAGAGCTTGGTTGGGAAGTGTTAATGCTTCTACCATATAGTCCTGACCTGCACCCTCAGATTTTCACCTGTTTTGGTCTTTTCAGAATTCTTTGGGTAGTGTTAGGTTAACATTAAGAGATGATTGTTAAAACTACTTATTTCATTTTTTTGATCAGAAATCCCAAGATTTCTACAGCAACGGGATTATGTCACTCCAACGTGCAAAATGACTCATATATATTATATTTAAATGTTATAAAAAAAAATGTGTTGAATTTGTGTATAAGATACAAAGAAACTCCTCGCCCTAATTGAAACAACCAATCACGAGCGTTAACGTTCTCACTGTCGAGTGTCATCGAACTCGAACTCGGTCATACTAATAAACTCGCTCTTACGAATTGTGTTTCCGATTATTGTGGGTACATTCGTGCGTGCGTGCGTGCGTGTGCGCGTGTGTCTGTGTGCGTGCATAAGTGCGTGCGTGCCTACGTGCGTGAAGGCGTGCGCGCGTGAAGGCGTGCGCGCGTGCGTGCGTGCGTGCGTGCGTGCGTGCGTGCGTGCGTGCGTGCGTGCGTGCGTGCGTGCGTGCGTGCGTGCGTGCGTGTGTGTGTGTGTGTGTGTGAGTGTATGTGTGTGGTAGCTGGTGGACGGTGACGAGGACCGGGTGGTGAGCGAGCGCGGGTTGAGCGTGGCGCTGGGTCTAAGCGCGTGCGATGCGGCTACTGCGGACTGTACTGCTAATGATTGTGTGTGTATGCATTCGGCAGCTGGTGGACGGTGACGAGGACGGGCTGGTGAGTGCGCGCGGGCTGAGCGTGGCTCTGGGGCTGAGCGCGCGCGGCGAGGCGACGCGGCGGCTGCGCGCGCTGTACTGCGCGCACGCGCCGCCGCTGCTGTCGCCGCACCACCTGTTCGACGCCACCTACACACACACTGGCGAGGAGCTCGCCGCAGACGCCATATCCTACTTTGACAGGTATAACAGCTACTCGTTAGCTGCTTTATACCGGTAATTTTGCATTACAGCCTATGAAAATAACAACAATATTATCCTCAAGACCAAATTTCGGACACTGCGGCCAATCTCGAAGAAGACTAGCCATCTGCGCAGGACAGGATTATAGTTCCCGGATGTACGCGCAAGTACAGGTGCACTCTCTATTTCCTCACGCTCATCGTCCGATGGGACGGTAATCTGACACGACCGAAAAGTGATCCGGTGTGTGAGATGGCCGGTTAAAAGTTAGTCCGCCTAGGTGGTATGGCGGCCGGTATCGGCTCTTCGCTCCATAACGTTATAAATTGTAACGGTAGGAATTAGAATTCAGGTAGAGAAATTCCGGTAGTAGAATTCCGGTAAGAGTAATCTAAGTTGGGGTTGACACAAGTTTAAATTAGTATGAACGTTTGTAGTAATGTAAAAGGAATAACTCGGCATTCTGGCTGTGTAGTGTTAACAGATTACCTATTATACAATAGATGAGCCATACACGTTATAAAAGTTCAATAAAACCAAATAAGTCAATGATTTCAGAATATTTAGTAGTTTATCATAATGAACAATATATTTTTATAATAGTCTATTAGCGTACAACGCTACAATAGACCTCCATCCTCCATCCGCAGATACCATCATCCTCTGATGATAAGTGCTATCTACGTGCATGTATCTCATCCACATACTATTTTTATTTGATGAAATAAAATACTACCATTCTATTACTATCAACATTAGTAATATTCCTGGTAACGTAAGTAATACGAGGGCGGCACTGAAAATTTCGGGAATCAAGGAAGTGACACAACATACTATTTAAAAATGTATTTATTGCTTTTCGAAGTATTCTCTGCGAAATTTGACACATTTTTCCATACGATGGAACCAATCATTGAAGCAACCATTCCATTGGGAAGTTGGGGTCTCCAAAATGGCCGTTTTGTAGGCGTCCACAGCTTCTTCAGGTGATGAAAATATCTGTCCACTCAATTTTTTCTTTATTTTAGGGAAAGTATAGAAATCATTAGGGCTTAGGTCGGGGCTGTACGGTGGATGGTCTAATAATTCTATGTTTTCTTGCTCTAAAAACTCTTTCGTTCTGTGTGCGGTGTGAGAACTCGCATTGTCGTGATCGAGGATGATGCGGCGGTTGCAGTTCTCTTTACGGAGTTCAAAAACGACCTGTGGCAAACAAATGCTAGCATACCATTCTGCATTAACCGTTCTTTGTCCCCCAAGAGTAATAGTCGTAACATGATCGTTTTTGGAGACAAATGTGGCCACTATTTTTTTTTTGCAACACTCCGTGAACGAAAAATTTTTGTTGGCTTTAACTCATTTTCGAACACCCAAACTCGTGACTGGTTTTTTGTTTCGGGTTCGTACGCGTATATCCAGGATTCGTCATCTGATACGATGTTGTATACAGCATTTGAGGATCCTGCGTGGAATTTTTCAAGAGTTCTGACGCACCAAGTAACGCGAGCCGCTTTTTGCTCTTCACAGAGCGAATGCGCTATCCATCGGGAAAACAACTTTTTTACACCTAATTGTTCATGCAAGATTATTTGTATTTGACTCATGCCAACGTTTAAAGTTGCCTGAATATCGCGGTATGTCACATGTTGATCTTCCTCAATCAGCTTACGCACAGCATCAACGTTTTCTTGGGTGACTGCAGTTTTTGGACGACCTTGACGGGGATCATCACTGAGCTTGACACGTCCACGTTGCAATTCAGCAAACCAGCGATAAATTGTGGTTTTAGATGGGGCTTCATCACCAAATGCAGAAATCATCCGGTCAACACAATGTTTTTGTTAAACCACTTCGAAAGTCATAATAAATCATCGCTCTTGGATTTTTTCGAGTCAATTCCATTTTCTCAATGACTAAACAAGTTTGACAAAACCTTGTGACAAGACCGAGAATCTTTTTGTAAATAAATAAATGGTATTCGATTTTTAAAACCAAGGAGTTTTCAATTAAAAAGATTTTCATATGACAGGAACAGTGGAAATATTCCATTCCCGATACTTTTAGTGCAGCCTAGGTATTCATGTTACTCTCTTTTCTTGAAGTACTTCGTGACGGTAGTCGAGTGGCGATTGAGAAATCACGACATTTTAAATTAATTTACTGATTTATATATATAATTTGCTTATATACCTTTTTTGTACTTAAATCAGTGCGTTTGTGCACCAGTAGAGAGAGATCCATCTCCCGAAACGATTCTTAGAGGCACTGTTTAGGCAACGAAGTAAAAAAAATTCAAACTCCACAATACTCCTACATAAACCTATAATAAAACTTTTCCAAAATCTTGGGATATTATGTAGTATGCAACATAATATAATCAATAGATTTTAATAGCTTACTTTATGCAAAATATATTTACAGCTTAGAAAATCCGTCCACTCCTGAGCCGAATGTCAATTCAGGCATGCAGCGATCCATCAGCGAAGTTTGCAGCGATGGCAATTATATGGACAAGTCTACAGACAGTAACTACGGTGAGCCTGGTACATATACACAAAATTTATTTGCCTTATAAATTTGTTTTATATTACTCCTGGAACCTATTATTCCTGAAATAGCAACGGTATTATTAAAAAAATATAAATAGATACACTATGGTACGAGGATGAAAAAAACTCGTCGATTTTTTCCATCCTTGTTGCCGTGTCCACTTCACTGTCTACTGTCAAAGTTTGTGTGCGTGCGTGCGTGTGTGCGTTCGTGTGTGTGTGGGTGCGTTCGTGTGTGTGTGTGTGCGTGTGCGTGTGCATATGAGTGCGTGCGTGCGTGCGTGCGTATGTGCGTGCGTGCTTCTGTGCTGTCATATTCAAGGTTATCAAGCCATTCTCTGATCCTTGGTGGTTACGGTAATTATTTAAGTTGTAAGTTAAAGTCCGTGTATAACTTATTATTATTAGTTGGAAGTTTAAATATTTTATTTATATAAAGTAGTAAATATAGGTTAGTCGGTCAAGCCAGCGCGTCTGAGATGAGTGGGAAAAAAAAGCTGACGGACGGGATGTGTGTCAGGCTGGCAAGAGCGGCGTCTGCGCCAGGCACGGCTGGTGAGATTGTACGAGATTGCGTGTCCTCCTATTTTGACAAGTATTTTTTTATTCACGAATTTTAAATGCGAAACATAAATTCAGAGATTTTTAGTAGTGTACTTTGTCTGAGTATTATTGTAATTCGTCATACAATCGTATCAAAAACAGACATCAGTACGATATTCACCAAATTTTTGGTTGCTACCGGGTGCAGTGCAGTCGCTCCCGCTCCAGGAGTCGCACCAGCGTGGCTTTTACCTTATATGTGTGACAAACGATATTGAATAGTTGTGTCGACTATAAATAGCGGCGCGAATCGTGAGCACCGAATAGCAACGTTTGTGCACGTACATTTTCTATCCAATATACTGCAGGCGAACGTCCCGTGAATGTCCGATGAGTGATGAAGTTTAACTAATTACGTGGAAGAACGGTCACCGTGAACACCCCGCGCCCTTGTACTTCACCAAAGATACCAACCCACAAATAGAATATTGAGCATTTAAACGATGTGCTGTAATATGTAATGTAATAGCGTTTGTTTAGAGAGTGAAGCGGCTGCGGTTCGTGCGTGCGCGCTGGCAGGGCTGGCGGGTGGTGCGGGGGGTGCGGGGTCGCCGAGTTCGCCGCGCGCCGCACCACCGCTGCCGCGCACGCATCTGCTGCGGCTGCTGGCCACGCTGCACGGCCTCACCGAGCACAGCGGCCCGCTGTACGAGGCCGTGGCGCGCGCCGGTCAGTACACCGCTCCACACGTACACCGCATACGCACACGCTGCGGCTGCTGGCCACGCTGCACGGCCTCACCGCGCACCGCGGCCCGCTGTACGAGGCCGTGGCGCGCGCCGGTCAGTACACCGCTCCACACGTACACCGCACACGCACACGCTGCGGCTGCTGGCCACGCCGCACGGCCTCACCGAGCACAGCGGCCCGCTGTACGAGGTCGTGGCGCGCGCCGGTCAGTGCACCGCTCCACACGTACACCGCACACGCACACGCTGCGGCTGCTGGCCACGCTGCACGGCCTCACCGAGCGCAGCGGCCCGCTGTACGAGGTCGTGGCGCGCGCCGGTCAGTACACCGCTCCACACGTACACCGCACACGCACACGCTGCGGCTGCTGGCCACGCCGCACGGCCTCACCGAGCGTAGCGGCCCGCTGTACGAGGTCGTGGCGCGCGCCGGTCAGTGCACCGCTCCACACGTACACCGCACACGCACACGCTGCGGCTGCTGGCCACGCTGCACGGCCTCACCGAGCGTAGCGGCCCGCTGTACGAGGTCGTGGCGCGCGCCGGTCAGTGCACCGCTCCACACGTACCCCGCACACGCACACGCTGCGGCTGCTGGCCACGCCGCACGGCCTCACCGAGCACAGCGGCCCGCTGTACGAGGCCGTGGCGCGCGCCGGTCAGTACACCGCTCCACACGTACACCGCACACGCACACGCTGCGGCTGCTGGCCACGCTGCACGGCCTCACCGAGCGTAGCGGCCCGCTGTACGAGGTCGTGGCGCGCGCCGGTCAGTGCACCGCTCCACACGTACACCGCACACGCACACGCTGCGGCTGCTGGCCACGCTGCACGGCCTCACCGAGCACAGCGGCCCGCTGTACGAGGTCGTGGCGCGCGCCGGTCAGTACACCGCTCCACACGTACACCGCACACGCACACGCTGCGGCTGCTGGCCACGCTGCACGGCCTCACCGAGCGTAGCGGCCCGCTGTACGAGGTCGTGGCGCGCGCCGGTCAGTGCACCGCTCCCCACGTACACCGCACACGCACACGCTGCGGCTGCTGGCCACGCTGCACGGCCTCACCGAGCGTAGCGGCCCGCTGTACGAGGTCGTGGCGCGCGCCGGTCAGTGCACCGCTCCACACGTACACTGCACACGCACACGCACATGTTTACGTTCATTGTATACGCACATGTTATATTTATTAAAATGTAGTCACACTAAAAAGATTCAAAATATAATTAATAATTACAAACAATGTGGTAGCAGGTGTTAGTGAAAATTAATCATTCACAAATTTCACCTACTTTTTGTTATTTTATTATAGGTACCTTGCTGCTCCAATTGGGCGAATTATCACATCGGCCGGAATTGGGTCGTGAGATATCCCAAGACAGCCTGTTCTTAGCTGCTGCTGCTAAACAACCCGTCGCTGCTCAGGTAATAGTTATGTTTAGTGCAATATCATTTCATTGCAAGCCACAGAAGCTAGTTTAAGGGAAAGTAAGCGGGAATTGAGTATGCCCTCACTATCACTTCCCATCTGTAGACTAAAAGCTTCGTTTACTGAAGTTTATAAACGAAAAAAAAACGAATTCACAGAGAAATAGAGAGAATTATCCCTTTTTAAACGTTAGTTTAGGACTCTATTGACCTCAAAAAGTGGTCTATGTGCAATTTGGACTATCAAATATCAAACCATTCCAAATTCCAAATGGGATGTTAGTATACATGAGTAACGCTACGATCGCGTCTGCGTGATAACAAATGTGTGAAATATGTATATGTACTTCCATTATCGTCCGTCGTTGCTTGGTCTGCGTTATATACGTTATAATTATTTCTAGAGCACCAATGGATCAAAAAGTTTCAACACACTTAACCTCATACTTACATATCATGGTCACGCTAGCATATTTCATTTTGATCGTTTTTGAACTGATGACACTTTAACACTTTAATTTTATGGAGTGACGAAATGATGTTGGAGTTTTAACATTATTTCAATTAATTACGTGGAATTATTAGCATACAACATGTATGCTAATAATATCATACATAGATGTACAATGCTCCAATCAATAAGGCGTCATCTGCCATTTTTTTTAGTAAACTGAAGTAAATATAATATGCAAACAAGGAAGAACATAATTAGTTCTCAATGTAATTTCCATTGTTTGCAAATATAGTGTTAACTGTACTCTACTTAAAATTTCAATACTTTATTTTATTGGAATTGACAGAGGCATCTTTTGTAATTTTAGGTGTTTGACAGTTCTAACTTCAATATATAATCCGCATCCGCTTTTTTAGTTCCATAGAGTTCGATTCTACTGTTTTTTAAGGATGACTGTGTGTGCGTGTGCGTGCGAAGTTGAGAGTTAGAGAAGATCGAATCACACCCAAACCCTTTTTAACCCTTCAATCCCCATAAAATTCCCATGCAGGCGCATGCACCTGGAAAATCCCGAGCGGTCGCATGCGACCGCACCCACCCACACACTTAAAACCATTAAAACTTATATTTAGAGACTTCTTTTCTATGAAGAAGGCATTATAAAATCTATACAAAATTCTCTATCTGTGGTCTAAACGAAAGTCAGGTTTTACTTCATTACCAAAAGATTTTATTACATTTTGATAACAAAAAAATCATACCAAGTGGATGTCGGCAGGTATATTACTCGAAATTATTTACGTAAAAAGATAAATTATATTCACACATATTTTATAATAAAACACTAGAAAATTCCAAAAATCAACACAACATCCAAATGAAAATGGCGCACGTAATGAACGTCGAATATAAATTAATATCTATAGACTAACTGTTTTTTATTCCACTAGAGGATAGAAAATTTCATATTGATTCTATAATACCAAACTTCTTCATAGAAAAGTAGTCTCTAAATATAATTATTTATGGGTTAAAGTGCTGTGGGTGGGTGCGGTCAAATTTGACCTCTTGAATTTTGACGGAATATCGAAGCTGTCAAATTTGGACGCTTGGCGTTTGAGAGATTAAAACGTTTTGAATACGTATAATAGAATAAAATCTTAATATCACAATCACAGCTGGATCCGAACGGCAATAAAACGGCGGACCTGGAAGGATCATCGTCTCAACCCTCACCGTCAAAGGAAAACGAGCCGTCCTCCGACAGCGTATGGTTCATAACGCTGGAACAGTTTTTAGCCACAATGCTCTCAGAGCCTGCTCTAGAGGAGTTTTTCAATAGACAGGAGCCGTTACTGCCTCAGCTTGAAGCTCTTAGGCAAAGGGATCGATCACAGTCTATATTATAGCTTATTGATATTTCCTGACTTTTTCCTATAAAGCTGATTTTTTAAATTATTAGAAATTACTCTCATTTTAAAAGCGCATTTAACAAACTTTCTTTTATAAAACCATAAACAGCACTTTGTACAAACTTTTTTAACAACGAATTATTTGATTTTAAGTGTCTATGTCTGTTTAATCTACTTAATACAGATATTTAGATAATTTCAAAATATGTCGACACCAACTGTATATTAATAGTCAAGTTTATTGACAGTGTTACTCTTCATCAGCTTTGATATCGAAACAATGTTGCAAGAGTAAATTAAAAGAAGCCAAAAAATGTAACTACTTATAAAGATAATATTGATTATAACGCAAGTATTTTTTCCTAAGAAATCATTTTAAATCTTTGACAATTTGTGGCTAATAATTTTAGATGGAACAAATTGTTTTAGGTTTCTATAATATGTTATTTATTTTAGAAATTTAAACTGGCGTTGATCAATATCTTCCAAGTATTCTGACAAACAGTTGTTTATCATTCTTATATGTAATATTCATTATTTTTGTTATCATATTATACCTAAGTATAATTATTTTTAATATCTTAACAAATTTAACTACCCATCTAGAAGGCCAACATAGTTCCATTGCCTATCCTCAAATACCGTGATTATCTTATAATTAAGAGTTCTGACAGGAAAATCTGATACGACCAATGAATAAAAACGTAAGTCATAAAAAAATAATTTTATGAAACCATAACATTCCAAATTGCACCTATACGCGGTTTCCTTTGATTAAAAGATGTACGCACGTATGTATGTAAATAAAAAAATATAGTCATTAATTATTTAGCCATATTAGATCGTAAGTAAACAATCATGTTCAATATGTGGAAAATGTTTAATCTGAAGTACGTTACCTTGTCTGTTAACAATTGCTTCGAAGACTTGTGACAAGTACAAAAATATGAACTTAAAACTGTAAATTATGAACTATATATTATGTTGTGTCACAACCCTGCTATAAAAATCTTATATTTTAGAAAAGAAGAGCTTAGAATAAATTTTTATCTTTTTCAGAATCCTTAAAATACTTATGGGATATGTTTATATTAACAATTCTGGCAACACTAAAATTTCTCTATGACTTAACAAACATTTATTTTTATTTCCAAAACATAGTATACATAAATTTTTGTAACATTTAACTTGTCCTATACTTGCATAATATTATAACATGTGAGTTTGTCTTAAGCAATAAAATTCAAAAAATAAGTATCATTAATATTTATAAAATTGTGAAATTATAAAGTTACCGCATATAGTGCAAAATCAGTTTTATCTTTTACTAGTAAGGCTTTACCTTAGTACCATACTGAAATTCGGAATATTTTGAGTATTATATGAAACCTAGTAACCACAAGTTTAATTCGTTGATCTAAAGAGCAGTAAATTTATGAAGTATTTTAAGGTAATTGTGTGCAGGTCACAGCACATCGTTCCATCTTCGTCATATACAACTCATCAAAGTCCATTGTTGAAAATAGGCCTCCTCACAGATTGCCGCATATTTATCACATTACGGATATTTGGCGTGATCTGCCACGCTAGGCAGGCGCGCTTAGCAAGCGCAGTTTTAATAATAATTGAAACTAACTACACAATGGTTAGAATGCGTTGAGACTGCTGAGGCCGCTGAGATCGAAACTCGGTCTGGAGTACATTATTATAATATTTAATACCGCGCACACCGCTCACAGCTAAAAATAAAATTTACTGAATATTTTCTTTATAAAATGGGTTACAGTTCTATGGAATACTCAACATATTCGGAAGACAGAAATATTCATATTAGTGCTTCACGTACGTAATCAATGGTGCTTGCTGATATAAAATAAAAAAATAAATACAAAGCGTAATGTAATGTTGCAATAATATTATCAACACATTTTAAGCAGTTGTAAGTAATATAACCATTTTAAGAACTTGCCCAGTTGTGCGATTATGTTACTCGAACTGATGTGAAATCATTGCAATCTAAAAGCTTTTTATGTGTGTACAAACCAGCTTGGAAGATAAATGTAATCTTACTGTTTTCACTATAGCTCCTTTTAAATTACATATTTTTATATGACAGCTGTATATGTTAATATTAGTATAACATTGAAACTGCGTATTTATTTTTATATGCCAGAATTTATACATCGTCACGCATAAAACATAGCGCACGCATCTATATGTTATTGCACAAAAATATGAATCTAATAATTCCTACACTGTTTTACTTTGATAGCTGATAACCCAAGAAGTGTTTTGTGTATTTCTTTTTTTAATCTTTTCCTAGGTATTTTTATATAATTAATATGTTTTTAACACTACATATGTGAAATATATTGGCTCTTATTCGACTGCTACATAGAGAATATGCAATTATCAAAAACAAATAACAAAAGTCCACAATTGTGGAGAAGTTTACTTAATACTGCTGCTACTGCTATAGCCCTCACAAGTCCACTGTTGAACGTAGGCATCCCACAGTGAATACCACAAACTACGGTATTGAGCTGCATCCATCGACTGCCTGCGTGTTTTATGCGCCACTCCATATAGTGGGGGTCGCCCAACACTGTGGCCAGTACGAGGCTGCCACTCGAGACCTAATCTTTCTTCTCTTCTTTTTCTTCAGTTTCTGATTTTTTCGAGCTATATGTTATGGCTTTATGTATGTGGTATATGTTATTAATTTATTTGCGGGATTGAGACCGTAACGAGAATTTCCGCAAAAGACCAAGAGTAACTAACATAGCCCAGCGGAGTAAACTGAAGTAGCAATGGACCTGCCATATAGGATATTTTTGGTATGTACCAATTTTTATTCAAATTCCTTGATCACCATATAAAGTTATTTACGTAAAGAACATGGTATTAATTATTCCTCCGTAATAAAGTAGTGTTTTATGTTTATGTTTATACTTGTGATGTTATTAAATTAAACAGTTTGTGTCGCAAAAAGTATATTCAAGATTTGTATACAAAATTAATCTCTTACTACTTTTTCAATATCTAATATGTATATTTAACTACTATATTTATTTAATTGTTATTACTATGTTATTTCATTTATGTTATTTCTTTATACCTATGTATTTCTATTGCAAAATTTCATTTTTGATTAGTTTAAGATAATCATTAAAGGTTAAATGGCCATAAGTAGTACCTATGTTATAACATATGCAAATATTATCGAATAAATACGTTTGTTTATTTTTGATTTTATTTAAAAGAAACGTTTACTAAAGACAGAAATTTTACTCCAATTTTGGGCAAACTGAAGGTGAAACCCTCTGAATAATAGTTTGAACATATATATTGTTTTGTTTATAAGCAATATTTACTCATACTCAAAACTATATTTTACGGTACAATAAGTACTTATTTTGCATAAATTAAAACAACCAACTACATACTGTTAATTTTTATACAGGCTGTACAAAAATGTTGTCCGACCAAAACTCTCAATTGAGTACGACAGGTGAAGAAATAGACGAATAACCCAGATATTCGCACTTAAAGGAGATTGTGATAATGAAGTTTTCACTTGATTACTTATCATTGGCCAAACAGAGTCGTTTGTTTTAACTCTTTAGGAGAGTGGAGCAGATTGGCCTGACTGTTTATGAATTTCAAGCTGTTTGGCTTTTGAAAATGTCTTAATAAATACTTAGGTAATATCTCCATCGAGATTGAGATTCTGGTAAATTTTAACTTCTAACAAGTGAACGGCGGTCGAAGATTTGAAAACATATTCTGGAAAGTGGAAAGTTCGAACTGCTTTCATTATTTTCATCTGTGCTATTAAATTCTAAAATTGTATAGCCTGATGACTATTCGTAGGCTTGTTAGTGGCGCCCTTAGAATAACAGCACTGCAGCAATACTGCTCCAGCATAATAAATAATAAAATAAATAAATAAAAGTTTATTTCGACCACAAGGATCATAGATGTTAGTAATAATACAAATCTTAAAACTATATCTAAGGCAGGCCCGATTAGTCAGCACGTGCTCCATGTGACAATGGTTCAGGTACTAACAATCAAACCTGTCAGAAAATACCCTCAGGATACCATTCTAACTGGCCCGCACCGTGCGCACCAGGGATGTGCATCGTTTACGCATGGTGGTGTAGAAACAATCCACACGCGCATCCGCGAACATACCCGACGTACTACAGTAACGAGGCAGACCCAACAGCACTCTAAATGCATTATTGTATTGAACACGCAGGGCATTATACTGTTTCTGCGTGTAGTCCACCCACAGACTGCTCGTGTAAAAGGAAGTGCAGTAAGCTCTAAAGAGCGTTACTTTAACTGGAACTGAAAATAAGCGAACCGGCGAGCGATCATGTTCGCTCTGACAGTGCCCTGCGCTCTCTCTCTCTATGTCAGCATCATCTTTCAGGTCAAAAGATACTATATGACCCAGGTACTTAAACTGAGACACCCTTCTTATCGGGGTACCGTATAACTTAATGGGTGGTACATATGAGGGCAAGGCTTAACCTTTAGCCTGAAAGACCATGCATTCGCTTTTCTTGACATCATAACTCAATCCGTGACTGCGGGCGTAGTTCTCACATATGCTCAACAGTTTTGCCTAGCCGCAAACAGAATCACTCGGCAACACCATGTCTTCTGCGTAACTGATGTTGTTGAGGCATACTCCGTCAATATGACAGTCGACATGTGTAAAGTTTGAAGAGCTTAAGGGAAGTTAAGCCCCCCTGTCTTACCCCGCACTCCAACCTATATTATGGCTGCGAATGGGTTTCAGACCATCGCACGACACTGACCCGGTTTCGATACCAAAATTTGAAGATTCTAGTAACTTCTTCCGGCAGTTCAGTATCTTTCAATTTCTGCCATAGGATATCGTAATTTACCAGGTCGAACGCCTTGCTAAGGTCTAGAAAACAGGCATAAATAGGCGTTCGTCTAACCGAATAATACTTCACAGT